ATGGAGGGGTGGGCGCCGGCCAGGTTACGGAACACTCCTTCGGCCATGGGAGAACGACCTAGACAGGATTAGCATGTCGTAATAGCGGAGAAGAACCGAGTTGATGACGAACAGATGTTTCCCAGGCAGACAAATAACACTTTGGCGGGACGCGCATTCGAGTCGGAAGCCATGGTGGGGTAGCAGGGATCACGAAGGAATCTTGATTTTAAGATTTTCAAGATATGCGGAGCAAGGAAATATATGCAGAAGTAAGAATCAAAGCAGGCGATAGTATACAATTTTCATGAGGGTCGAATTTGGGTGCAAGGCGGGGGACATTGATAGACCCTGGTTGGGGTCTCCACCCCTGGGAGAGCCATGGATATACAACCGTTGTCTTCATTCGACGTTGACTTGCATTGCTACACATATGTTGTACATCATAAAGCAGGAACAAGCAAGAAATGAGTTGTAGATTGGCAGCTGTCTATTTTATTTTTATTTTTTCTTCCAATTAAAAAAAGAAAAGAAGAGTACATAGCCCACTATGTCACCTCCAATGACCTCAGATCTAAAAAAAGAAATCGATGGCTGAGGGGGGATGAGCCACAGGTGACAAGCCCGTGTGGCTGAGTTCCAGTCAGTTGGCCCAGTAACACCGTCCAAGTGGAGTTCGTGGAGTTTCTCCTCTTCAACAACCCGTGGCTCACTGGTTTCAGCACATCCAGGGTTCCTGAATTGCAATATCATTAGGGCTTTTATTTCTGAATCGGAAGAATCTGTTCCCCCCTCTTGCCCCCCGACATCTCTACGGTGTATGCAGGCCTAATCAGTGTACGGTATCTCCACAAGGCACAAGGCAGTGCGGAGCCGCACAGACACATCTGATTCGCCCCAGATCCACCATCGTTGCCGGAATCAAAGGCGTCGTAAACAACAGTGCGGCCAAGCCGGAGTTATTCCACATTTTTTTTCAAAGCTGTTCTTCTTCACCCTCCGCGCTGTCTTGTGACAACCCAAAATACATATACGGAGTACCATCTCCTTATATCAATTTTCGCTTGCGATCTCCCTTCTGAAACAACGCCGAGAACTTGCATACGTCAATTGGACTAGTGATTCCTCCCGCTGACGCTTAAATCCCACTCAGCGCTCCTAGCGCAATCTCCAACAACCCTGTTACGCACTTGGGGCGGGATAATTTCGCTGAACTCGATTCTAAGGCCCCAGCATTATGGCCTACAATCGTGTGGACGCCGGTCAGTGCTTCTCTAGTTTTATTGGACCTTTCCTCCTCCCTCTCTCTTTTCAGCTTCCCCGCGCATTCTCCATCTTTCTGAACTGCCGACTCAGTGCTGGTCATTGATTCAATGGTCCCAGTACGATTTGCGCGATCAAATCATTGCTACTCAAGCTCTTATTGAGCAATCTTCTACGTCGCAAAACTAACAATGCCGCCAACAGACCCGTTCGGAGACGAGCATACCTCGCCCATCTTGCATCCCTCCCATCTCACCGGATACAGCCATCGCCCTCCTTCCCCAGGGCAACCATTGGAACCTGGCTACCAGCTCTCGGACAACCCATATACATATGCGCCCCAGTCGCATCTTGTGATGCCATCCAGTGATCGCTTGGCCGAACAACCTACTGTGAGTATTATGAGATAAGAGCGAAGATTGCTACGATGAGTACTGATTATCTATCTAAAAAGTACTCGGTCGAACATGTTGATAGCTCTTATGGCCATCATCCCGCATACGACGCACAACGTCCCTACCCTGGTCACGAGTATTCGCTTGACCCTGAAGCCCATCACGACGCCTACTATACCCAACCCTACGAGCCGACACAAACCCCACATGATGATTATGATCTAGGCCAGTACCCAGAGGGAGGACAAACTCCCTTTGAAGCTGACCAGCCCATCCTGCAAACGGGCGAAAACCCCTTTGGGCCGGACCCATACACCGAGTTCCACGATGAACCGCGCCCGACGCCCAGCCCAGCGCCTCTTCGCCGCTGGAAGACGGTGAAAGAAGTCCAACTTTTCAACGGCAACCTCGTCCTTGATTGCCCCATTGCGCCGCGACTGCTCAGCCAGATACCCCACGCAGAGGCCCCAGGTCGCGATGAATTTACGCACATGCGATATTCGGCAGCGACATGCGATCCTGCTGATTTCTTCGAAGAGCGGTTTACCCTCCGTCAGAAGCTTTTCGCAAAGCCTCGCAACACCGAACTGTTCATTGCCGTGACCATGTACAACGAAGATGACTTCCTCTTCGCGCGCACAATGTCTGGTGTGTTTAAGAATATTGATCACATGTGTTCGCGCACAAGCAGCAAAACGTGGGGCAAGGATTCGTGGAAGAAGATTGTAGTCTGTATCATTAGCGACGGTCGTGCCAAGATCAACCCCCGGACGCGCGCTGTGCTGGCAGCTCTGGGTGTGTACCAGGATGGAATTGCGAAGCAACAAGTCAACGGAAAGGACGTGACTGCGCATATTTACGAGTACACCACTCAAGTTGGGTTGGAGGTAAAGGGCACTCAAGTGCATCTCAAGCCTCGATCCGGCCCGCCTGTGCAGCTGATTTTTTGCTTGAAGGAAAAAAATCAGAAGAAAATCAATTCTCATAGATGGTTCTTCCAAGCTTTCGGCCGTGTCTTGGATCCCAACATCTGTGTCCTTTTGGATGCAGGTACCAAGCCTGGCAAAGACTCGATCTATCACCTCTGGAAGGCTTTCGATGTCGAGCCCATGTGCGGTGGTGCATGTGGTGAGATCAAGGTTATGCTGTCCCACGGCAAGAAATTGCTGAACCCGCTGGTGGCTGGCCAGAACTTCGAGTACAAGCTTAGCAACATTCTCGATAAACCGCTTGAGTCTTCATTCGGTTTCATTACTGTGCTACCTGGTGCGTTCTCCGCCTACCGGTTTGTCGCACTCCAAAACGACAAGAACGGGCAAGGTCCACTAGAGCGATACTTCCTAGGCGAAAAGATGCACGGTGCCAATGCCGGTATCTTCACAGCCAACATGTACTTGGCTGAGGATCGAATCCTGTGCTTCGAGATTGTCTCCAAGCGGAAGTGCCGATGGCTTCTTCAGTACGTCAAGTCGTCGACTGGTGAAACCGACGTGCCTGATCAGATGGCCGAGTTCATTCTTCAGCGTCGTCGTTGGCTGAATGGCAGTTTCTTCGCTGCAGTTTACGCCATTACCCACTTCTACCAGATCTTCCGTAGTGATCACAGCTTCATTCGCAAGTTTATGCTGATGATTGAATTCGTCTATCAGACGATTGCGATGATTTTCGCGTGGTTCGGAATTGTACGAATCTCTCCCATCATTTTTTTGATATATGCTAACGCCTTGCGCAGGGTAACTTCTTCTTGGTCTTCCACATCTTGACCACATATTTGGGCTCAGATGATTTACTGGGTACTGCTGGTAAAGTTCTCGGCATTATCTTTGAGTGGCTATACCTGGCAACTCTCGTTACGTGCTTCGTTCTAGCTCTCGGTAATCGACCCGGCGGATCAAACAAGTTCTACATGACCATGGTATACTTCTGGATTGTGATCATGATATACCTTGCATTCGCTGCGGTATTCGTCACGGTCAAATCAATCCAAACAGAGGTCGAATCGAACACCTTTACAGTCAGCCAACTGTTCACCAATAAGACGTTCTTTTCCATCATCGTCTCCCTTGGATCGACCTATGTCATGTGGTTCCTCGCCTCGTTCATCTTCCTGGACCCATGGCACATGTTCACTAGTGTAAGTGACTATATGAATTTAATCTTGTACAATCTTCTAACATCCTCCAGTTCATTCAATACATCTTGCTCACGCCAACCTACATCAATGTCCTCAACATCTACGCCTTCTGCAACACCCACGATATCACATGGGGTACTAAGGGAGATGACAAGGCCGAGAAACTGCCCTCCGCGCACCTCAAGCCCGGCGGTAAGGTCGACGTCAACATTCCACAGGACGACGGCGATCTGAACGACCAGTATGATGCGGAGCTTGCCAAGTTCTCCATGAAGCCCCCCAAGGAGATCACAGTTATTTCCGAGGAAGAAAAGCAAGCCGACTACTACAAGGGATTCCGCAGTGCCGTCGTGCTCGCCTGGGTATTCTGCAACTTTGCTCTTGGTGCCGTTGTTCTGAGCGCTGCCGGTTTGGAAACCTTCGACGACACATCCACTACCAGTTCCGACGATGCGCAGACCGAACGCTCCATGATTTACATGGAAGTTGTTCTCTGGAGTGTTGCTGGTCTTTCGATGTTCAAGTTTATGGGTGCAATGTGGTATCTGGTTGTTCGTATGGTGAGTTGTCTTCCTCGCAAGGTTTTTGTTTTTTCATTACGTACTAACATTATATTCTAGTTCCGTGGCGTTTGATTCAGCGAGCTCTTAAACATGATGATTGTGTTCCTTTGCGCCAATGCTATGTTTTCATATATCCCCTGATTTTATCCGGATTTGGTCTTGGTTACAATACCACGGCGGGCCCGGTCTGGTACGCAAATGAAAATGGAAATGGAAATCTAATATGTTTGATGACTTCCCAGCGATGTGTTTTTCGTCCTTTGTGACACGCGGAATGGCTGGTTTGGTTTTTTCTTTACATCTCGACTTGGTGCATCTTTTGCATGTGCTTGCCCTTGCATATGTATCCTTGGGCTCATGCTTTTGCTTTTATTTTATGGAGTGGAATTTGTGTACTCTATCTGTCGATATGGAGGAGAATATTATTTCCGCCAATTCTGTGTTCATTGCAAAGAAACTGTATTTTTGTAGGTCAACCCGAAGCATCACATGAACTACGCAATAAAAGTCAGGGTTTAGTTTTGCGAGGTTTCAATTATTGAATATAGTGATATCCTTCCATTAACTATGAACTTCACTATGAGGTACTAAAAAAGCATCGTCCAACAAGTGTCTAGTGCACCAAGTAAATTAGCACCAACTCCGTAACCCGAATCGAACATGACTTCAAGAAGCCTGATTCTTAGAATGCACACATAATGCAATCCCTCCAAGTACCAGCCCCATCCCCAACCAAGTCTCCTTCGCAATCACCTTGCGGTCAACATACCACTCCCCAAGAACCGTAAACAAGAACGCACTCGAGTTTGCCAGCGGCACAGTCAAAGAAAGTTCTACACAGCAATACATTAGCAATTCCGCACCCCAAACGGCAACACTAGAACCTGAGAGCAAAGAAAGCCAATAGCACTCACCATGTTTCCCAACAAGCAAAAAAAACCAAATACTGCCCGTGAGGTTGATAACCAAGGGAATCGCATATGCAGGTGTACGGAGCAGATTAACAACCGTCCAGAAAACAGAAACAATCTTCGCCCGCAGCCACGACTGCTTCACCGGACCTCCATGTCTCCACGCCGGCATGGGCACATCGTCCTCGTCCTCGTCTGCGCCGCCTTCCCTGTCTTCCCTATCACGGCTCCCGCTCTGTTCAGCAAGTCCAGTATCCTGACCCGCGGTCTTCGGTTTCCGGTTCACGTCACTGCTCGTACTCCGTCTTGGCACATCGGCACCGGAGTCGCTGTCTTCTTCTTCCCGAGAGAGCAATTCCTGTGCCTCGCCCGCGTCTGTGAACCCGGCTCGTGCCGAGTCTTGTGAGCGTCTTCTTCTGCGCGCTGAGGTGTTTGGGTCATTTGCTTGCTTCGCTTGCCGGGCGTTGAAGTCTGCTGCTGCGCGCCGGATAAAGGGGGTTGTGAAGCCCCATGCGACGCCGACGAGGAGGAAGGAGAGCACGTAGTTGAAGACAGAGGGGGCGGGTTCGATGGGGATTCCGGGATCTGGATCCATGTTGGTGTTTTGGGACCTCGAAGGGTGTGTAACGATTGGTTGGTTTGTTGCGCGGTGTTACTGCGGCCTTGACGTTGATGCAGACGTGGACCGTTGGTCTGTGCGTTACTGATAAGACGGATAAGGTTTCTAGTGACGATCCTTGGATCTATAAAATGGATCCAACGGTTGGAATGCTTTATTTTAACCACAGTAGATTGATATAGTATTGAAGAGACTGAGTAAAATGATAAGATATTAGACTGGTTCGCCTGTTAGGGTTTCACACCGTGGAGGCTTCAATCACGTCTGAACGAATCGACGAATTGACCAGTCAATTGCCAACAACCCACAACCCACAGCCAACAGCCAACAGTCAACGGACAACGGACAACGGACAATATATAACAACCAACAGCCAGCAACCAGCAACCAGCAACCAGCAATTAGCAGCCAGCGGCCAGCGGCCAACAGCCAACAGCCAACAGACAACGGCCAACAGCCAACAGACAACAGACAACAGACAACAGCCAACAGCCAATAAATAACCCACAGCCCACACCCACAAGCTCACAAGGATACTGCACAAGATAAGCATCAAGTGCAGAATTTGCTCTCAGTAGGTCAATTGCGAGCCTCCGATCAAGCTTGCCCGGCCGTCACAGAGGGTGTCGCCACGTCCGATGGATGTGCATCATCAAGACCGATTCATCACAGAGCAAAGTGCCCACCACCCTCCTTCTCCCCCGAACCCACTTCCACCAGAGTCCACAGCACCAGAAGAGCAGATCTCCTATGTCCGTTGCTTAGGCGAACGCCGAGGCTTGAGAAGACGAACGCCCCACTGTGTCCGAGAAACGAGTCCTGGTGTGCTTCATATCTCTGACGCGCTCAAACGGTCGCCCGTGCAGCGTCCCCCTATCTCTCACCAGCAGCTCATCCTCCTCTTTATGTGTCCTCACTGGCATCTTGAACCGTGGCAGTCCCTGCCAAACCCCACCGTTCTCTCACCAGCAGCCCATCCTCCTCTTTATGTGTCCTCACTGGCATCTTGAACCGTGGCAGCCCGCTGCCCATCCCCCTTCAGTGCCGCTCGTCACAGGTGAGTCTGCTGTCGAATGCCCCCGCCAGTTGTCCTCCACCGTCGTCCCCCACTGTCGTCCCCGTCGTGTCCCCATCGTTCCAGGTGAGTCTGGTGTTGAAGTGTTAGTGTCCTAGTGTTAGTGTTGTTAGTGTGAAGTACCATTGTCATTGTCAAGTGTTAGTGTGGAAGGGTTAGTGTAGACGGGTAAGTGTAGGAGGGTAAGGGAGGAAGTGTTAGTAGGGTGTTAGTATGGAAGTCCTAATATGGAAGTGTCAGTATCAAAGTCAAGTGCCAAGTGTCAAGTGTCCTACCTGGTGTCGAAGTGTCGTGGTGTGGCGGTGTGCGGTGTCGCAAGCAAAGAAAGGTGAAGTGGAAGAGAAAGAAAGAGAGAAGAAGGAAATTGGGGGGTAGGGGGTATTTATAGCTTGTGGGAAACAGCACAACCTCTGAAATGGGAAGGCACGTAAAGACCTACTGGCACGTGAAATAGGCAGGTGCATGTCAATACCCTGTCATTGTTACCTCAATCCTATTCAAGAACAATGGATATCATGGTTTTTATATGTCCTACTTGCTTGCCCGGGACTCTAGATATTCACGAGATAGTCAATGTATTGTCTTAGCTACAGTCTATAGACCTTGAGGATGTCCCGATCTGAAGGGCCCATCCTTCCTGCTGGGTCGTTCCTTCCCTTTCTGCCGAAGAGCTAAGCGAGTTGATCAAGAGTTTGCATGATTTGCAGGGAGGCACACCGTAAAGCCCTTCACCCTACACCCTACACCCTATACGCACAGATCCTCGTCCATATTTCTTTTTGCTCTCTTGTACTTAATTTTTTGATTGAAATGACTGCACTCTTTGGTTTTAATAAGTGGCTCGTCGTAGGAGACATCGAATATCAAGGCACGGTCTGTGGTAGATTGCACATGTCACGCTATTCATATCTAGGAATTATACGCTACGGGAGTCACCCAAGTAACCAGTAAGATGTGTAGTATCTATTAGCACGTCCTGTGTGAGCTTTCGTCTTTAATTCTCTCAGAGATATATCCAGTTGCACCATATAGTCCGCGATGAAGAACCAATGCTAATGAGAAGCTCATTATCCACTTGACAGATTGGGAGGTCGGCCTACTGTGGAGATGTGAGCATGGCTCCTGAGAATGGCTTATGGTACTTTGCAGTATGAAGAAGCTTAATTTTACGGTTGCAATTGGTACTTGAGTAGAATTAATTTGACACGAACGGGTATCATGAAGTGATATATATGCCAAGACATATATATGTAGTGTATTAGGACAATGTCTCTATGCAACGCAGTGTAAAAGACTCGATATAACCAAATGTAACATAGATATACAGCAACATCAGTAGCTGGCCCAAAAAAAAAAACATTAGAAGGAAAGACAAAAACACCGAAAAATGGGAAATATTAGCATGGAGGCAGTGACACAATTACTTGGCACTCTTCGATTTCTTCCCAGGAATGAATTTCATCATCGAGGCCTTCAGATCCGCACTGTTCCACCGCTTCACGCGGACAAGATAGTACATGAGGGTAGCCACGAAGGTGTTGAAAAGAATGAAAGCCCACATAATACCGAAGTTGCGCCACCGATCACCGTAGTAGATACCGGCCGTTTCCATGAACTGATCCGCAACTTTGAGAGAGCAGTAGCCGCACTCACTCGTGGCGTCGGGATTAGTTATCTGTCCACCAGCGGCGGCGGCATACTTCATGAGGTACTGCCCGCAAGTATAGCCAGAGGGAGGATTGAAGATGGCTAGTTCGGCGGTCGAGCACACCACCTGACGATTGTGAAGCTGTGTGCTTGCCATGCCGCCGATCCAATATGTGAATGGCGAGACACGGTACATGAAGATCCAGAACCCGGGAAGAGCATCGGGGGGCTGCATCACACCACAGAAGGTGAGAGACATCGCGAAGAGAAGAACGACTACTGCACTGGCGGTGGTTTCATCTGGGAGACCAGCAATGACCATGTGGGTGAAGGTGCTGGCGTAGATGAAGAAAATAATGCAGAACAGGAGGACGGTTCCCTGGGTCAGCGAATCGGGGATTCCAACGACGGCATAGAAGTAGGAGCCATAGGTCAATATACCCATGATGACCATGTAGGGCAGCTCCACAACCATGTTGGCAATGAGGAAAGCTTTCCAGGAGTAGGATTTGCTGGGACGTTCACGTCCCTCGTAGAGCGATCGCTGGCTGACGAAGACGGGCATGATCTGGTGAGATTAGTGCATGTTCACTCGCTTGATTCTAGATTTGGCTTACCTGTTGCGCCAATGACGAGAAGATTGTACAAATCATGAACAGGGAGTAGACGACAGTCTGCATGCCTTGCAGCGATGTTTTGGCACCATAGAAAGAGAAACCAATGAATAGACCAGAGACAATTCCAAGCCCCCATTTCGCCAGAATGTAGGCTGGCATGCGCCAGTATTGTTGGAACACGCGGTATGTGACTTCGTTAATCTGGAACCAGAACGGCATGGCGAATTCAGAGTGATTTTGTGCTGAATCATCAGTGGCGGGGGGTTCATTTTCCTTTTCTTTGTGAATTCGATTGATCTCATTCTGGACCTCCGTGCTTTCGTTGCTCTGCTTCCACACGTCGAACCAGTCCATGCCCTTGTCATTCTGACCAGCGTTGACAATGCCCAGCATATATTCAGCTGGGTTCTCGTTATCCGCACACTTCCGCGCACCGTTGGATTCGAAGTACTCGAGCATTGTGCTAGAGTTATCTCCAACCGGACCGAAGTACACGGTCTTACCGCCTCGGGCGAGGAACAGTAGCTGATCGAATTGTTGGAAGAGCATGGCGCTGGGTTGATGGATTGTGCAAAGAACTGCTTGGCCGTGCGAAGCAAGGTCACGAAGGAATGAACAAATAGCCCAAGAACTCTGAGAGTCGAGACCACTGAGCAATAGTTAGCATCGGTAAGGAATGAATTTGTTGTATAGGGTACTTGCCTAGTAGGCTCATCCAAAAAGAGTAGTAGCTTGGGTTTGGCGGCCAATTCAACACCGATAGTCAACAGCTTGCGCTGCTCGACGTTTAGACCCTCACCAGGAACACCGACAATGGCTTCAGCAAACTCCTCCATCTTCAACATGCTGATCACATCTTCGACATAGGCATACTTCTCTTTAACCGAAACGGAGGCTGGCTGACGTAACATTGCACTGAATCGCAGAGACTCACGCACAGTAGCAGTATCGAGGTGAAGATCCTGCTGTTGGACATAACCTGTCTTTCGCTGGAAACTCTGATCCAGTGGACGACCATTGACAAACATATCACCAGTAATAACACCCATCGATGTACGGTGTGCCAATACATCAAGCAAAGTCGTCTTACCAGCGCCACTGACACCCATAAGTGCTGTCAGGGTTCCAGGTTTAACCCATCCAGAAACATTGTCTAAAAGACGACGCGGCTCGCCCTTAATCTCGATATCATAGCACACATTGCGCCAAGTGAAGGTATCTGTCTGAGCCTGGATAGCACCCATTCCTTTTTCCCCAGTACCCGCAGCAGCGTGGTCTTTAGTTGTCTCGGTGCTTTCAACATCAGATCCAGACTTATGGTCCTGGCGTAAACTGGCAGGCTCGTGACCGCGACGGAAGACGAGAGCTTCGGCGGCACTTGTAGTAGCAGAGTTCAGCTCGGTCGCGATAAAGTAGATGGCCATGAAAGCGATCAGGAAGCCTATCAGGATACCAAAGTTTCGCCAGACGTGGGCGTAGCTGTAGTTGTAGTTCAGTGCCATGAACCGGTCACCGTTGACTGTTGTGGCGCCTGCCAGCGAACCAGGTGCAGTGCAACTGAATGCTTCTCCTGATAGGTCGGCATAGGAGGGAACGAAGCTTGAGCAAGGGAACTCGCGAGCATGGAACTCGTTGGCAACCAGAATCTCGAAGGCGTAGAAGATCGGATTGAGATAATGAATCCAATTGAACCATGGATGCATAGACGGAATAGGGAGGACAAAACCGGTGTAAACCACGAGAATCAAAATCATGACACCTGCAAGACCCATTGCCTGTGAAATAGTCTTGGTGACAGCGGCCAGTGTGCGGAAGATTGCACTCATGACGAACGTGATGATGAAAGTGATGAGGAAATAGAGGAAGAAGTTGGAAGGTTCTCGTTGCAGACCAGCTAGAAAGTATAGGATGATGTTGAACACGACAGATAAGACAAACTTGACTGGGATATCACTAATCACACCAGCAATAGCTTCTGTGAAGGGATGATAAAAGGCAAAGGAGGCATGTTTTTCGACGATTGGGCGTTGTGAATAAAGATTGTTGATTTCGGACATTGCGGTGAGGGCATTGAGCAGGACGGCGAAGAATAGAGTTGCACATTTCGACGTAAAGCCCACAGTTGCATTCGGGGTATCGTAGAAGACAGATCCAATGATCAAAGCCATGATAATATTAGTGACCACCACAGATATGGTGGAGGCAGCATCGTTCCAGAGTCGTTGGTAGGCGCGAACGGTGTTGAGTCTGATTTGCATATAAACGCTGATGATGTATGGAGACTTGGGTCGAGTATGTTTGGCCTGGACGCCACGCTTCCAATTCTGTAAATCAGCTAGGGCTTGCACATCATCTCCAACAGGATTTTGTCCTTCATATTCAGCAATTTCATTTAGCAATTGCTTGTATTCAGGTGACTTCAGCCATGCAGCCTCAAAGTCCGCAGGAGTACGGGGAACACGATTTTCCATGCCAGGCTTGGCTCTCCGCTCCTGGGGATTCGAGATCGAAGTGAGGAAATCTCCAGTGGTCTGCCGCGTCGGGCAATCCCAGCCCTGGTTCTCAAAGTAAGACTTGGCTGCGGACGCAGCTCCGAAGAATACTTGGTGGCCTTCGTAAAGTACAATCACCTTGTCAAATACATCGTAGATGCTTTGACTGGCTTGGTAAGCAGCGACTGCTTGACACGCGCCAGTGATATCAGAGGATAGTCGCAAAGCCTCGACAAACTTCAACGCGGTGGCGGAATCCAATCCTCGAGTGGAGTTGTCCCAGGCAGCGATTGGAGCATGGGCTAGGGCCATCTCTGCAATACTGACACGCTTTCGCTCACCACCGGAAACACCACGGATGAAATCGTCTCCGACGCGCGTGTTGTATGTGTGACTCAATCCAAAGACAGCCATGATGATCTGGGCCATATATTTGGCAAATTCTGCGCGCGACATGCCTTGGAACCGATGGGCGGGAGTTCGTGTTGCAGCTGCAAACTCCAAAGTCTGACCGACGGTCAAGTGAGGGAAGTGTCTGTCAACCTATAGAATTCAAGATTAGCGATATTCTCATTGGCGTGGTATGTTGCGACTGTACCTCTTGGTTGTATACTAGTTCGCCCTTGAACTCTTTCATCATGCGAGTTTGAGGAATTCCTAATGACTGTTAGCTTTAACTAAAGGATGCGGGACCTCAATTCTTACCATTGTAATGAATGACACTCTCCTTGTCCATCTTCAAACCATGCAGCTCTCCAGTCATGGACTTCAGTAGCGTACTACAGCCGGCACCTGGCCGACCAAGCACAAGCAGCATCTCGCCACTTTTTAAAATGCCATTGAAGTCCTTGAGGATTCGCCTTTGAGGAGAGTGTGATTCACGAATGATTTGGGGCAACCGAAAGGGGGCGGTCAGGGTCGATGTAACTGTATCTTGGAACTGCAGCGCAGCGCCCGATCCGTATATGTTGAGGTTTTTGAAAACGACGTCTGATGTGTGTCCCGCTGGGCCATCCCGGTTGAGGTCTTTGAAAGCCGCTTTTAGCCATTTTTGCAAGTCGAACTTTCCAGATTGGGGGTCGAGAGCTGGATCTTGTTCGGCGAGGGCTTCTAGGTTATCCGAGGTTCCAGGGGCCGGTTGCCGGTGTGAATGTTCAGTGGCTATTCTCGTGAGGGTGTCAACATCGTTTTGGTTGATGTATGTCATGGACTGGACTCTCCCGAGAGTCGATCCGGTATGGGGTGGTTGTTCATCCTTTTCCCTCAGCTCGAAGGAGTCTTTCTCGGACGTCATCGTGCCGAGATAGAATAAGGAACGAGCACAGGGAGGCTTAAAGAGAAATTAATTATAATGAGAAATCACACAAATGCGGGCGCGATCAGATATTTAAAGCCTAGGCACTACGTTTCCGTTTTTGGATGACATCTTCCATTGTAATGAGAACTGTGGGTCGGAGTCGGAGGTCGGAGCAATTGAAGACAATGGAAGAGATATAAGTGGAGTTGTGCCCTGTTACGATATTACGATCCCAGGACAATGATTCGGCACGGGATACGAACAGATCGACATCGAATCGGGCTCGCCAAGTTGCGCCAAGTTTGCCGTAAGGGACCTAGTCGCGATAACTGCATCCTTAACTGCCCGCTAGAACCTAAAGGTTTTCTAAGCATTCTGCTGAGTCAGCGGCACTTTTTTCGACCCCGGGACCCGGAACACGGAGATAGGCGATCCCGAGCCTCGGCTCCCGAGCTTATGCGAAGCCGTGGACGGTACGCGCTGTACATAAATCCAATTATGATTTGCCAGACGCAGTAGAGCTTGCGAGTGCATATCTAAAATCTTTGCGCCCCACATTTTTTTCCAGTATCCCTTTATTGATTATTATTACAGACCATACCTATCTAAGACTCGGAGGAAAATTCGGTCAAATTGGGCCTGCATCGGCTCGGGAACACATCGGCACCCATTGATCTTTGAACCCTGAGACCCGTTAAGCCGGGACTAGGCACCTTACAACATATACACTACGTATACGAGCACGGATGTGGTACTGTACAAAGCACCTGGATGTGGCGACTCTTGTGCGTTTGGTGGCTTCATTGTTGGCTTGCAAGATTGCTTGTCGCCACTTTTTGATCCGTACCTGGTGGAGCGCAGATTACCCCAGTATGCATATATGTAAGGCTCCTCTACGGAGTAAACAATGTACTGTTTTCGATAGACTATATTGATCTCGCCGTGACACTATCTATATGTTGTAGTGAATAGTACCGAATTAATGAAGAATGGCACTCGGGGGACCCGTGGACTAACCATGTCTCGCGGAATCATGATGCGATTATGCATACAACGTACGATCACATGCTATCACATGCTACAGGTTGTCTTTTGCTGTTTGCGCGGTTTGACAAAGTGGGGCTGGGCTTGCTCGTGCCTCCCGGAGGTTCCAGGGTTACCGTTATCTCCGTTATCTCCCCATACTATTTTGAATTGACCGCACTCTTCAGTATTCAAAGAACTGGCTTATAACAATTAATATAAAAGTCAAGCGATCAATTCGAAAAGCCAGCTCCATAGCAAGAGCTAAGTGCAGGATCTAATTGCAAGGCTTACCTCGCCGGAATCAACAACACGGCTGGAAAGTCGTGGATAAAGGGGTTATTTACATCTACATGGTTGGTAAACCAAAAGGAGCAAATAATGGATTTAAAATAGTGTTCATTGTTCATGCAAAATCATTACTTCCCCGTCGCCTCCGCGGGTATTGAACTCGAGTGAGAACGCAAGCTGAAAGCAGACCACAGCCAGTGAGAAACCAATTACCGAAGATCTTGTTGGGATTCGGGATCGATGTCTCCAGAAAAGATGGAGTTGACAGATGGCTTGTAGGCGTGGAGATAGTTGGAGTTGCAAGCCAAGACGTCTTAACAATATCCGAAGCAAGCGTCGATATCGTGATTCGAGAGGCTGTGTATCGGGGAGTAAATGTCTGACCTGGAGTCTAAACTGCTTGGTGTGACTCTATTGGTCGCTTGATGCCATTGAGGTCGACCATGGTGGCAAGGCATGTGCCAGTGATGGTTCTGCAAAAAGGCTTGGCTCCAGTAGAGCGACTGAAAGAAGACAATATGAGGATGGGGATGGGGATAAAGGATGGGGATGGGGATGGAGGTGGAGGTGGGAATATAATGAATTTGTCCGTGACAGCTGAAGAAAGCCGTTGTCGTCCGAGTCGCTTTGCGAAGCCACGCCCGGTTGTTGGTTTGCCCCGAGGCAACTTACGGTGAGTAGCATTTAAACTACCGGCCGGAGTGCTTTCACCATAAGCTTGTCGACTGAGTCGCTTTGCGAGGCCACGCCCAGTTGCTGGAGACTTGCAGTGGGTAGCATTTAAACTACCGGCCGGAGTGCTTCCACTGCAAGTCTGTCGACCAGAACGGTTCCTGGCTGCTGGGTTGTTGTGAGGCGACGAGGGGAGGGGGGTAGGGATGAGGTGGGGTGGGGCATATGGAGTGGGGTTTGGGGGAGAGGGAGGAGATTTGCTAGAAACGAGTTAGCGAGTTCAAACATATAAGACCAAAGAATGAATGCATATTACCATGAACAGTTGTAGTAGAAGGTTGCTGGGGCCAAGAGGGAAGATCACGATGGAAGGTTCTTAGGATGAAAGGTCATTGTCTTGATGAAGGTTGTTGTCTTCGAAGAAGGATGTTGTCATGATGGAAAGTTGTCATAATGGAAGTGTCCAAGGTTGACATGTTAGATGGTAGTCAAGGTCATAATGAGTTGACATGGTGGATGGTTGACAAGGCCGTAGTGGAAGATTGTCACCATACAGGGTTGTCAAGGCCATAACATATGGTTGACATGGTTGAAGGTGGTATGGCCTGAGGTTGACATGGTTATAGTGGATGGTATATGAAGGCCATTGAAAGTGGAGGTGCCAAACCCGAGAGATGCGAAGGAGGAAAGAAAGAGAAAGAGAAATTGGGGGGAAGAGGGGGTATTTATACCCTTCCAGTGGCTTAAGGTCATGAGAAACTGGGGTGGGTGACGATTTTTGACCAGAAGGGAAGGAACTAGGGCAAACCTGCAAACCATCTGGTCGCACCTTCCAATATTTATCCGACATGTGACAGTCGAAGCTGCACTCGCGCTGTCTATCAGTGGACGAATCTACAAATCCTAGGCCAATTAGCAAAAACTACTAGTCTATACATCAGAGGTATCAACTTTGCCTATCTATATACACTCCAAGACCGGCGTGACTGTTATGGAGTGAGTTATTGAGGCTTTGATATTTTAGACCTTGCCATGAGGCAGTAAATCAATGGAGACAGTATATTATGTACTCTTCGCCATATGTTTCATGAGCAATTTCTTTTTCAATTCGCAAGTTACATATATAGTCGAGGCTTCGAAGGCTACTCGGACAGTGCTTCTATTGCCACATAGTATACATTATTGTAATTTGTTTGTCTGCAGTACCTAATATGTACTATCAAGAGATATATGTAGAGAATACAGACAGATTCAGCACTCTAAGCCGTTGCTATATTCATAAAAAGCGCGTATAATTGTTTTGGGATGATTTCGGACACCTGGGGATGCTGAGTGTAAATAATGCAGAATCTTAGCTAAGCAATCATATATCCATCCATGGAACCTAGATCGGTACCTAAATCAAGTGACAGGCCAAATGGAAACAGGATTCTAATCGAGACCGATGTCAGCGGGGCAGATCGGCGGGCTCCGATGGGAATAAAACAAACTTGGAAGCCCTCCTCCCCTCTTTTTCTCTTCATGAGCCCAGAAATATCATCTCACCATGGCAATCCAATCACTACGTGAAATCAACGCTTACAATCTGCGCACCTTCAAGCACCACTATGTCTCCGAGATCTCAGGCTCGCTCGGCGATCTAGGCACATTCCTGCCTATCGCGCTTGCGCTAGCTGTCAACGGCACTGTCTCCCTCGCCAGTACATTGATCTTCTCCGGAATTTTCAATATTCTAACTGGTCTGTTCTTTGGTATTCCACTGCCAGTCCAGCCGATGAAGGCAATCGCCGCAGTGGCTATCGCGCGCAGTTTCTCAAATGGCACGATCGCTGCAGCGGGGATCTTCGTCGGCGGCTGTATCCTTGTCTTCAGCTTGACGGGTATCTTGCACTGGTTCGCCAGTGTGATTCCTATTCCGGTTATCAAAGGTATCCAAGTCGGGGCGGGATTATCCTTGATCATCGCAGCCTGCAGCAGCATGCTGCACCCATTGGGCTGGACCAGCCCCTCCTGGGCCGATAACCGTATCTGGGCAATCGCTGCATTTGTTGCGCTTCTGCTCACCAATGTTTATCGCCGAGTACCCTATGCAATTGCCGTGTTGGTGCTAGGTCTGGTGTTTGCCATTATTCGGACTACAGTCGCTGGACATATGCCCGCTTTCGAAGTGTGGCATCCTTTCGCTCTGGTTCCGACCCCACATCAATGGCGCGTCGGTGCTGTGGACGCTGGTATTGGTCAAATTCCTCTTACCACCCTGAATTCTATTGTGGCGGTTGTTCACTTGGCGAGTGATCTACTGCCGGATGTCCGCACTCCGTCCATCACCAACGTCGGGTTGAGCGTAGCCGGCATGAACTTGATTGGCTGCTGGTTCGGTGCTATGCCCGTCTGTCATGGTTCCGGTGGTCTTGCCGCGCAGTATCGGTTCGGAGCTCGCTCGGGAGCAAGTGTGATTTTCCTCGGCCTGTTGAAACTTATGATTGGCCTTCTTTTCGGAGAGACCTTGGTTGACCTCCTGAAGCGATTTCCCGCTGCCTTCCTTGGTGTAATGGTCATTGCAGCCGGTACAGAGCTGCTTGGCGTCGGCGAGAGCCTCAACACCACGGGTGCTCGGGACCTCAACCAGACCGGTGGTGGCCTTGTGTCGAACATTGAACAGCATATTGGTCCCATGCTTACAGATGAAGAACGCAGTCGTCGCTGGACTGTCATGATGGTCACTGTGGGATTACTGGTAGGATTCAAAAATGATGCGATTGGCTTCATTGCTGGTATGCTTTGCCACTGGTCCTACGACATCCCGAAATGGTGGGAGCAGGCGCGTAGCCGCTGGTCGGAGGGACGTCTACGTCTACGTGACTAGAAATAGGTGTGGAATTTCGGGGTTTGAAATCTCATGATATTCTTCACAATATATACGTAAAGAATTCACAGATATGCATTTTGATCTTTTTTATATATAGCAAAAACAAGCGCAATTACTCACCATAAGCAAATGCAGGTCTTCACCAACACACTCACCAACACACTCACCAATACACTCACCAATACACTCACCTATAGTACATCCCTAACATCCACATCACTTCCTCTCTGTAGCCTGGTACCTGTACTAGGATTCTCATAAGGGCGGTCCTCCCTCGCCGCAGACGAAAAGCCATCCGAAGCAAAATTCACATCCCGTCCAAACCGGCGACCCTCCCTATGGCGCCGAGTAACGCCCCCTATATCATACTCGGAGTCATTATAATTGCCCGTCACGGGGTCATAAACCCTAGACCCCAATGGCGAAGAAACCAAACTAAACGAATCGTCCTCGCCGTCCCCATCCAAGAGCTGAGCCGCCGCACCCCTAATATCAGCCATGACATTGGGCGCGGAATCTGGGGTCGGGGTATCTTTGGAATCTGAAACGTCATCCTCTAGTTCCGTGATGCGCCGTATTCCTCCTGCAGAGCTACCGCCAGGCTCGGGTAAAGCTAGCTGTTCCTGGCCTGTATTGTCGTATCGTCGTTCTTCGACGACGGCCGGTTGGCCTAGATCTTGCTGGGCTGTACGCACGACTGTTGAGCCGTCGGGTTCGGTGTATGAAGTTGTCGAATACCTGTGTCCGGTTGTAGTCCTGCCGTCGGTGCCGTTGGTTGTGGAACTGTAGTAGTACGTGGAGCTTATGAAGGAGTCGGACATCGTAGCGGTGATATGTGGAAAAGTAAAAGATTGATCTGGTCCACTTGGGATGATTTGCGGTTTTTGAGTTTTGTTTAGTTGGGTAAATGGAGAATATAGAATACTAAACCTTTGGGGAGGTTGTTTTATTTCTTTGCTTGTAGAAGCGTCTCCGTAAGATGTCGATATATGCAATGTACAAGTTGTACTGGTTGCTTTCGAAGTTCAAAATGTTGAATATCGATGCGTTTATATATTTCATCTTCCCCTGTCCTGTGGCAAGCTTTACTTGCCGCTTGCATCATTGCCTCGTGCGGCAACCAACCTCTATGGAAGAGGCAAAGACCCATCCGCGTCGCCGAGGGGTCTGGAGGTACCCCACGAGAATAGAGCCGGGGAAACAAAGCATATATTGAACGTCTAGGCGTTGTCCATAGATGCGCGTGCATGGATGAGGTCCCAGATAAGGTACTGGGCGTATCAAAACGGCTTATCATCTCCCCCGCTTTTCAACATCGAAACCAACTCATCTCCAACTCTGGAACAAAAAGCACTTCATGGCTGGACTTACCGAAACTCAGGTCGCCTCCTTCAAGGAGAACGGGTACCTCGTCCTCCCCAACTACCTCGCCCCAACCGAAGTCACCGCTCTCCTCGCCGAGACAAACAAACTCCTTGAGGAATTCCCACTAGAATCCCACCCCCTCACCCAGTTCACAACGGGCGACGAAACCGCCGACCATGTCGGCGACGACTACTTCCTAAACTCGGGCGACAAAATCCGCTTCTTTTTCGAGCCCGACGCGTTCAGCACCGAGCCGGATCCAGTGACCGGTCGCGCCGCGCTCCTGAAGCCCAAAAACCGCGCCGTCAACAAGATCGGTCACTCGCTGCATACCCTATCGCCTCCTTTCAAGGCCATCTCGCTCAACGAGCGGAACGCTGCTGTCGCGCGGTCCCTGGGATTCGTCGATCCACGCGTGCTGCAGAGTATGGTTATCTGCAAGCAGCCCTCGATTGGTGGGGCCGTGCCATCCCATCGCGATTCGGAGTTTTTGTATACGGATCCACCCTCTGCTGTGGGTTGGTGGTATGCGCTGCAGGATGCGGGACCGGCGAATGGGACGTTGGGTATGTACAAGGGGTCGCATACGGGAAGGAAGGGTGGTCATATTGCTAGGAGGTTTGTGAGGAGGGAGAATGGGGCGGGGACGGAGTTTATTGAGAATCGGGGGCCTGCGCTCCCCAAAGGCATGGAGGAGGAGAAGAGTGAGGAGGCTACAGATGAGGATTTGGAGATTCTTGATATCAAGGCTGGATCGCTTGTGCTCATTCATGGGAATGTTTTGCATAAGAGTGAGAAGAATACCAGCCTCAATAGTCGGTATGCTTATACCTTCCATGTTATTGAGGGTGCCGATGGGTGGGAGTATGATGTGCGAAATTGGTTGCAGCCGCCTGCTGGTGGGTTCTCAAAGTTGAATGCTTGATACACAGTTAGAATACGAATGAATGATGTTACGGTCAATAATGGTAAATAGTTCGACTTTTATTCTTTATGCAAATCCTGTACAAAAGATGGCCCGCCATATACACCAGTGTGCGAATCCCAGACACCCCGAACTCCAAGTTGCGATTCAAGGCTGTCAGATCAGGTCGCCTTCAACATGTCAAGCATTCCCTTTGTTTGCCACGCTTGTTGGGCCATCTCCACTTCGTCACGCACCCGGCGGTGCAGACGCTCCACCATCTTGTCGACCTGTACCGACTGGCCCAGGTTTCCGGAGTAGATATCGAGAAGGTTCATGGCGACCTCGACGCTAAGATCGACCAGGCGGGGTTCACGGATGTTCTTGTAAACCCACTGCAGCACAGGCTGGAGGGTGACTTCATCGCGGTCCTTCAGCGAGGCACGGAGGGCGGAGCGGTGGCGCAGGGCCGTAAGCAGTGTGAGTTGCGAAGTCTTGTCAGCCGAGCTGAGGACCTGGTCCAACGCAACAGAGTAGCGTGCCTTACGGAGATCGTTCTCCCAAGGCTGTTCTCTCTTACGCTTCTTGCGGTCCTGGCCCTCAATGACAATCTCCACACCTTCTCCGATGAAATCGCGTCCACGTAGACGCTTTTCCCATCCAGAGCCACGGGTCTTCTTCTTCTTAGCGACTTCCCGGTCGTGCTCCTCCAATTTGCCCTCCAGCAGAGCTGCCATTTCCTTCCGGCGTTCTCGCTCCTTGATCTTCTGTTGGCCAGATAGTCGGGTCTTGATAGACAGAAGACCTGACTGCATACCAACAGCAATGTGCTTATCCTCGTATTCTGTTCCGGAAGTGATCGCGCGGAGAGAGAGAATGGGTGATGGGTATTTGGATCCGGAGACGGGGTTCCACCCAGTGGTCTCAAAGACCTTCATGTGTCCATCGAGGGCACCACTGAGCAATCGCTCACCATTAGAGGCCAGCGCAAGGGCAGTGACAGTCTTTTGATGGCTCTGGATCATGTGCAGCGGCTTACCAGCCACAATATCCAGCACCGCAATCTTGTTATCGGCCGCAGCCAAAACTGTAGTTCCGGCGGGCATAGGCAGAATAGTCTCAATCGGCGCACCCATCTTGAACGTCATAGCGGCACGGTTTCCAACTCGAGGATCCCACAGTCGAACAGTCCGATCGTAAGAACCTGAAACCACCAGACCAGAAGAAGCCATAGAGCCAGGCATGAATGCACCGCTGCGCACGTAATCGGTGTGGCCGACAAAGGTGCGCGCACTGGTTTGCGACGGCAAGTCCCACAACCGCACTGTACGGTCATCACTGGCTGTGAGGACCGCTGTAGGGTCGCTAGGAGAGAACTTGGTCACCCACACAGGCAGCTTGTGATCCTTCCACGTCTTGAGGATGGCGCGCGATTTGACATCGAAAACTTGCACGGAACCGGTGTCGTCACCTGCAACCAAGACACGTCCATCGGGACGAACGTCAGTACCGCGCACGGTGTCGTCAAACCGTGTAAGTGTCCGCAGGAGTTTCCGTGTGCGAATTGAATAGATCTGGACTCGTGCGCCTGTTGTCACAGTAAAGACATCGGGCGGTTGTGTGAGAGAGGGGAATGCCGCAGCAGAGGAAGGAACGGAGGGCTGAGTGATGAGATTGACCGGTCCATTGGCCGGTGACGGGATCAGGAGCGGGTTTTTGAATGTTCGCCAGTATTGTTGCTCGGGCGTTAGCTGCGTCGAGGGTAACGAGGCGAGCTTGACCTGCTGCAGAGGCAGGACGGGCGCCGCCATGGTTGCAGTGGTGGATAGACAGTAGTTATTTGGGGGGTGTTAATCAGGTGGGCAACCCGAAATAAGCAACAGGCGATAATGTTAAGCCGACTAGAGTGCTATCATGAAGTTCATGAAGACCATCTTTTTTCTGCCGATCAAAAAAGTTCGTCTCGCCCAATCGGGAATGGTGGCGGTAGCATTCTCTGCCTGAGGCATAATGTTCTGAATTTTTGCCTGAGGCCACACGGCAGAACATCAACTCTTGGCATTCTTGGCATTGGCTTTGACTTTACATCAATCAAAGAAATGGCTGACACAGCCAGAGCCTAGACTGGACCCCTCGTAAGATGAGTCTGAGGGAAAATAAAAAATGAAATGTAAAAAATACCTCGGCTGATACTTTTTCGCCCGAGCCATTGGAAGTTCTCTGCCTCTGATTTCAATGAGGCTGGCTACAAGCACCATTCCTCGGCTGACCTGCCAGGCTACATAATATATTCCATTCTCGGGTAATACATCATGTACCGAGTACGAAGTATTAATGCTTTTACATATGTATCACATTCATCAGATTGATCAGTCTAAAGAGATTCCCCTCAGTAAGCCCAACTTTTTTTCATCACTTGACCTAAAGATAAGCTAAAAACTAGTGGATGGATACATATGCATACAAAGTACATTGTACAGCATAGGCTTCCGCAATTTAACCATCCGCAATGTTAATAATAGTAACCTTGGTGGGTATTGATTGCCCAACAAGCCCACTTGAGGCACCGGCACAGGCAACATCATTAATCATAAAGCGTCTAGAACCCGTAGAGGATGAGCAAGCGAGGCAAGACAGTCTCACCAATATTGCCAATGTATGAAAGGCATCTCGAATCTCACTAGGACTGTGAGTGGCCACTAGTCAGGTCAATCTCCAGTGGGGGGGAAACGGAGATCCATCGGGGTGCAGCTGCCTAACCCTAAAGGTGGGGAGGGGAGCCGCGACACTTCACAGCTTATTGAAGCCCAAATGCCGCTGGAACCGGCACTTTTTTTTTCCACAGGCAAGAGGACCGAGAATACTCGGTACGAGGCACTGTAGATGAATAGCGATAGTGTCTGGGCCATCCAATGATCGGCGATATACAATATAAATCTCTGAACCCGCGGTGGCTGGGAATCCGATGAGGCCGCGGGATCAGATCGCGCTGAGGGATCCACTACATGCGGGAATACCTGACCGGGGTTGGCCAACTGAAGATGAGTTGAATGACATCATGAGATATATCGCAGCATACACGAGGATTAATATACAAGATAGGATTGAGAATGGCACGAGGTGCAAATAGAGAGCGACTTACCTAACCCAGTGGCTTCCTAACTCGGTAGCGGTGGTCGTAGCTTCCCAGTTCCATTGTTTACTCGCATGCAAGGTTTGTGTATCCATGGTATGGATGAATCGCCCCGTCCAGACACCGCCAGGGGTAGGGACCAATCATATCTGAGGATCTGTTACAACCCCCCCAGCCACCTCCAATCCCCGTATAGGACATTCTAAGAGTATGTTTTCTCTTTCCTCCTTCCCCCTCTCCACACTGTAGACATTGACTCTATGGTCTTTTCTGCTCATATTCAATACATCCAGTGATTAGCAACTGGTCACGAAATGTCGAAGATCTCCAAGGTCAACCATGCAGCAGGCATCTTCGCCGACATATCCGTCGATGGCCCCATTATTGGCACATTGGTCGCTATCGTTGACCGAGCGAAGAACCTACCCAACCGGAAGACTATGGGCAAGCAGAATCCCTATGCTGCAGCACGACTAGGCAAGGAGGCAAAGAAGACACAAACAGACTTGCGAGGTGGACAAACTCCTCGATGGTAAGCATTGAGCCTGATAGATGTACAAATGGAAGATAAGCTTACCTGCCTAGGGACTCGGAACTCCGATTTACCGTACACGAATCACCCGACTACTTCAAATTGAAGGTCTCCGTGTTCAATGACGATAAGAAGACCGACCTGATCGGTGAAACCTGGGTGGATTTACAAAGCTTGATCATTCCGGGTGGAAGCCAAAATGATCACTGGCACCCACTTCAATACCGTGGGAAATATGCCGGGGATATCCGGATTGAAATGACCTACTACGACACGAGACAACAAGATGAGGTTCTCATTGGACGCCGACAAGAAGCCGCCGACCGGGTCCAAGGCAAGGTCCCTAGTACTCCAGGCAGCACGGGCTTGTCTGGCCCCCGCCAATTGAAAGATGTCAAACGACGACCCTTGCCCAGTGGTCCTTCAGGGGCCTCGGCGAGACAACCTGTGGAACAAGCTCACTCTCCACTTCCACTTCAACAACCGGTCCCATCGAGACCCGCCATCCCTGAGCATTCAAACATTGCATCTAGTGCTCCGGAAAGCACATATGCCCCGAGATATTCAGAGCCTGCTTACGATGCATCAACATATCACGCCCCTTCTCCTGTGCCGCCTCCCTCCCGGGGTGGGTATGAGAGCGATAGCCACACTCAAGGATGGGACACTGCATCTGTTGCTCCTCTCCGCCGAAAAATCACCCATGAACTGCCTTACGCTTCAAATGAAGTTATGGAAAATACATATGATCCGCGTTTGCTACAGCAGCAGCAGCAGGAACAGGAACAGCAGCAATTTCAACTGCATCAACAACAGCTGCATCAACAACAACAACAACAACAACTGCATCAACAACAACTGCAACAGCAGCAGCAGCAGCAACAACAACAACAACAACAACAACAACAGCAACAGCAACTACGGAATCGTTCCGAATATGATCGGCCACCTTCGAGAGACAATCGCCTCACCAGGCAAAGCCAGTACGAGGCAGATCCCTATGAGGAAGTTTCATACCTCTCCTCTCAAGACTACTCTCAAATAGAGCAACCGCGATACAATCCGGACCCTATGTCATATGGCGCAACCCATCCACACGATGTGTCAGGTTCAGAGTTCATGTCTTCCTTTTTAGGGTCTGTGGATGAACCGAGATACCATCCAAGATCTCGCCCTCTACAAATCACGGCTCATGGTCATGATTGGCACCCAGAGTATGCTGGAATGCAACCACGAGTAGAGGATGAAGATGATAACGGACCGCCCCCTCCTCCACCGGCACATCGGTCACGGAGGCACTCTCAACTGCCCACCCCGCAATCATCGCCCCACTCGTATGCAGCCTACACACCCCAGTCCACACCTCGATCCTCGGCTCCCCATCTACCATCAAGCATGCCTACCCCGTCCCACCGCGATCACTATCAGGAGCCTTCTTTAATGGAGAACTCTCCCGCGATGCCCGCAAGCCTCGTTGCAGGTCATGAAGTGGAAGACCCATCTGAGAAAGCAGCATTTGAGCGATCAGTCCGCAGACGCAGCACCCAATGGGACGATGAGATGATGATCTCCCAGTCGCCTGTACTAGCTCCTGTATCAGTCCCCGTTCACTACGATGCTCCTGTCTACAGTCTGCGAACATCCCCCAACCCTATCGAGCAAAGGCCCACTTCTAGCAGAGGTGGATCTGTCAGCTCTGATATGCGGGCTGTGACTCGGAAATCCGTCAGTCCGCGGCCCTCTACTTCAGACGTCGGTGGTGGCTCTTCAGTCCCTTTCTCTCCCGACTCCTACATCTCGCTAAACCCGAATGCCTCTCACAATCCCAACCGAGATCCTTCCCCGGCGTACAACACACCTATGCAGGCTAGAGATGCTGTGATACGTGGAAAGACTGAACCCCGTCGAGACGGAGATCACCCAATTATAGGAGATGATGGTCGGGAGATTGACCCATCCGACCATCTTCCCACTGATACATGGGCACCCGAACCAGAAAGGAAGAACCGCAAGCCTGAGGTCATCATCCGCTTCAAAAACTCGCCCCGGCCAACTTCTAGAGGCAATGACGCTCCCCCACCACGCAGCACAGGCCAGCCACGCGTAGCATTCAAAACTGAGAACAACACCTATGCACCAGATCGCCCAGTCAAGTTCACACCCCCCCAGGTGCACCCAAATCCAGGGTCAATGGTTCGAGCTCCACCTCGGCCGGACTACGCGCGTGAACGCTCTGACAGCTACGCGCGAAGTCGGGCCTACAGCGCGACCACTTCGGTTGGCCGGCCGCGCTCTTCTCGAGGCTCTGTTTCTCCAAACCCAGGGTCTCGTAAGCCACTGTATGACTACAGCCCAGGTCCCCCAATTCCAAGCAAAGTGCCAATCACAGGAGGAGCTCCAAGCTATCCCGTCATGTCTGGCAATACAAACGGAAACGACCGCATGGATGCCCTCAGTCTAGAGCTGAGTACGATTGACATTGGCTCTGCAGCTTGCAACCCTGGCCGGGGGGCTGTTCGAAAATACGTCCCAAGACAGCCAGCTTCAATCGGCTACGCTAGGTAAAACGATTTGCTTTTTACATTTATGCATGATTTATGTACTGCTATTTTTCTTTGGGGTCCTTGGTGTGGTTGGTGTATCTCTCGGGTCCGTTTCGATTCTTGTTTTCAGACTGCATTGCTCTGGCGTTATGGATCTGATCTACGGGGAAATGGGGCTTGATCATGTACACCATAACGGGAATAACCAAGCTTGGAATGATATCGTAAAGTGACATTTAATTCTTACTAGATGAGTGCTTCCGTAGATTAGAGAGTATCTTCAACAAGATCATTGATGTAATCAGTTGCTCGATGGTCTGACAGTAGACCTCAGTGTGCCTATATAGGTCTTCTTGATATCCTGGGTTTTCCAGTGATTATATTCCCTGCTAGCTCCAGCTGCCTGTGGTTGTCTGTTTGCACATGCGGTCGTATATGGAGACATCGTGCTCAGGTCATGCCAACCTGATTACCTTTACAACCTTCTAGAACATCATGATCATGTCTCTCTATATATAAATACCGTCATACTCAATAAATCATCCTAGAGACTAGGTTGTTCCAATTGCTACTAGCTACAAACCAGCACACACGATGTAACGACAGAGCTCTTACTGTAGAAGTTGGCAGGGTAAGAACCCAATAAAGGAAAAAAAAGCCATCTGAACTCGACCCAAGTCAAACGCAGTAGGTAAGTTCCTGCAAAGTTATAAAGCTCATCTTATTACAGCTCCCCTCTTCCCCCTCTATCCTATTCTCGCACCCTGCTTTCCTTTTCATTTTGGCTCAACACCAGGACCCTTCCACATTATCAGACAGCTTTGCTATCAAAAACCATCTATCAAAAACCATCAGGTAGTGCGTTCCTCATCAAGAACGTACTTCCCATCTTCCTTCGTCCTTGTCTTGTTTGGCATGTCCACAGCCATGCAAGGTCAGGGCTCTGACGTCCATGGCCATCAAGGCCATCTCCCTGAGGAGAACGTGAAAATGTACGTATAGTAACATCCCCTCAATCTACTCGGTATCATGAGTTGAAAACCCTATCCTTCTTGTTGACGTGAACGTCTTTTGATTTTGTCTTGGGATCGTTTTGCTAACCTATAGAGCTCAGACCTAGCAACAATGTCCACATCAACCAAGATGCTTTGACGTGAGTATACGCTATATCCCCTGGCGTCGTTGTGTGCCTAGCAGCCAAGCCTATACTATCTGGTATCAAGCCTTTAGCCTCAGTCTTTTGATAGTTCTCTGCCTTGCTATCACTTTTTCATTATCTACGAACAGTGCTACGTGATACAATCCCATCTTGGGTGTTGGAAGCATCGTGTTCTATGAAGATTTCAGCTAAACAAAGTATTAGTCCTGACAGTCCCAATCAAACAATCCACCAGGAGAACCGAGCGCTGTCGCTACTTCTCTCTCCTCCGCCCAGTTCGCCTTTGATACCTCTGGGCACAATCGATTCCGCACCCACCCAATACAGCCCAGAATATCCGGCTGGTCCCCAGTTCACCAGAATGAATGGATCATACCGTGTTTATAATCCAATTCGGGGAGCGGAGCTCAGGACTGCGGCCGATCTTGCCAACCCATTCAGAGACAGACTGGATCAAGGTGGCCAGATGCGAGACCATGGAAGGGCTCGCAGTAGAAGCCCTTACAGCTCGATTCAATCCAACGGGCTTCTTGAATCCCAGGATCTACCAGCAGGGCCAGCGAGGGGATTCAATCACTATCCTCGGGAGGTGTATGTTCCGCCTGGCATCAATGACATGATGCATCTGAATCTGCCTAGCTCTTCTCCGACACTGTTTCCGGACAACACCCATAGTGGTGGTCGTGATCTTGCTTTGAGCCTCCCAGGGGACTCTCTGGGACAGAGTTACCATCTCAATGATGGCAATTGGTATGGATACCCCCAGGAGCAACAGCAACAACAGGTGCAAGGGCCCGAAAGACCACCAGTCGCCAAGCAAGAGGAGGAGGACCTCGACGACAACTACGAGGACCATTTGTGCGAATTCGCTGCACCATGCCGAATGCATCCCTCGCCTGATGGAATGCACTACCGAAAGGTAGTATCGCATGTGTTCGGCAGAAACAAGGCCGTCACCAAGCTGTTTCCACTCGGAGTTTGGGTCCACTACTGCCGGAAGCACTACCAGCGCGCCCGGTATCGCGCAGATCAATGGCCTTTCACACAGTGTGACCTCCTGCTTGAGTCACTGACACGTATGGAAAGCTGGGATGGAGTGGAGAGCTTCGAGCTGATCCTTCGCCGGCGAGAGCAAATGCGTGTCGGGCGTGAAGCTGAGGGCACAACGACCACTGAGACCTCCAAGCAGAAAGAGGTCACTTCCTCCGGCAAGGCCCAAGATCAGGGCACCAAGTCTTCGGCTATTGTCACCCGCCCGGGCCGTAGACACCCAACTGCCATCATCGCCCCTGTCCCAGACTGGCTTCGGCAACACGTTGGTCATGGCAAGACCTTTCAGGAAATCCGCCAGATCATCGAAATGGTGCGCAGCCACATGGTCCGGCTGCGAAACCAAGAACGAGCGCAACAGCAGCTCAACGACGTTCCCAAGTCCCCAGGCAAACCAGGAAGCCTTCGTCGAGGTGCATCCTCGAGCATCCGAAAGGGACGTACCGCGAAGGGCCAAAGCCCCCTTCCCCTGCGTCCTAGCACGGTTCGATTCCCCGACGTTGAAATCCTCCCCCATTTCAAGCCCTGGGTGAAGGAGGCTGCTTTGCGGCAGCGATCTGCCACAAACGGCCCAATGAACATGAACATGAACGAGCCCGAGATCAAGGACGAGTCGGAGCAGAGAATTCTCGGTGGTGGACGTGTCCTTGGAGAAATCCAGGATAACCGGGACACCAATGGCGCTGGATCCAGCCAGGCATCAAACGGCGACTTTGCAGCTACAGCAGCGCAGCACTGCGAGGGCCGCCTCGAGTCTGTTACTGCTGTTTCTGCTGACGACACCGCTGGGGTCAATCTCTTGCAGGTGCAGCCTCACATCGGTAGGGCTGGGACCAACCGTGGCCAGTCTGAGAGCCAGCGCCGCCGCAGCGAGCGGGTCTATATCAAGGCCCTAGATCGTCTCCCTGGCCAGAGCTTGAACAAGAAGACCATCAAGGAGGATGAGGAGGAGGAAGCGGAGAATGAAATGTAGTCTTCCATTGGAATCGGCAATCTGGGTTGTGACTCATGCGGATCGCTCATATCTGAGCTCATGTATCCGAGTTCTATTGATGTCAGATAAAGAAAAAGGATCAGGTTATTGGCGGATGATGCTCCGCCGGAATGTTGCAGAAGTCGAGTTGGTTGGAGTGCTGAAGGGACTTTAAGTATGCTGCTTGATCGCGCGTTTCGCGGGAATATCGCGGGCGAATTTGATTCTCAAAATAATGAAGCGGCGGTGATAGAAATTTGATGTAAGAGAAGTTGAAATCTGAAGGAAATGTGAGAGAATATATTTCCGTGCACAGCAAACAATCAAATTTGATCCCATTGCGTTGATATCCGATCAATGACTGCCTGGTCATGTAGTTGTCTTCATTAATTCTACGATGGCAAACTCCATATACAATATAGGGCTATGCCTGACAGCTGAAGGCAATTTCAACGACATTCGGAAATTCGAGATCTCAAATCCCATTTCAGCTTCATCAGAGACTACCGATATACATATGGATGTACCCATAAACAGTGAAAATCTAATTGAACGAATATTTGAATGCGAGGAAAAAAAACGAGTAAGAAGAAGATCCAGGACACATACTCCGTACAATATAGACAACCGCAACAATACGACACGCTTGCTAAAGACACCGAAATGCAAGGAACAAAAAGTCCCTATGCAACCACCCAAGTAATATGAATCAAAAAAGAGATTAATGTAAGGTAATTATCATGGTAGTTTTTGTATGGAAAAAAATGCCAAATTCAGGTCTCTAAACAGACTGGTCTAGCTTGCCACAGCCAGCTGGGCGACGAGATCAGACGCCACATCGAGGAAGGGGTAAGGACTGGTCACCTCCTTCTCCTTGTTCTTGAGGCGTCTGCTGATGGGATGCCATTCGGTTTCGCCATGAGCGCGGATCACGTTCTGGTAGCCATCGCATTTGAAGTCGACCATGTAGTTGTTCTCTTCGAGTTGGTAGAGCTGTATGTCGAGGAAGACCCAGACACCGTAGGTGATCTTCTGGAGTCCGCTTGGTACATTGACTGAGGAGGCCGCACTAGCGCTCTCGGGGACGGAGGACTGGGGTTCTCTGCTTCGGTCTTCCGTTGGGGCAGAGATTCCCGAGATGTTGAAACGGCGGCGCAGTTCCTCGAGGTCACTGCGGCTACTGTAAGCACTGGTGGTGTCTCCAGGAGGGTTGATGCCTTCTTTCAGCAGGCGTGCACGGATAAACCATGGGTCCTTGGGAATGTAGTAGTCGGATGGGAGGTCGGGGTATTTGCTCTGCAAGGGTTTGGGCTTATCAGGGGAGGGGGTCGCATCGGGACCAATATTGGTGCCTAGAGAATATAAGAATCGGCTCAAAATGAGTAATGGGTGGAAACATACCTGATTCCACGGGTTGAATATCCCACAATCCACCCTGGGCAGCAATTGCCCGGTACAGATACAGCATGGCCTCATATGGCTGGTTTCGGGACCGAATACCAAACTGCCATTTACGGCTCCGTTTGGGCTGTTTTTCTAGGGGTTGACCGGTTGGCGGCTCGAATCGCAACTTGTCCAAGTCGACGACACTGCGTGAGTGGGGCTTCAATGCACGGGCTGTGGCAGCCTGTTCTTCGGGAGACATGTCCCGATAGGCAGATCCCTGTCCCTCTGGGTCAAGCTTGATGGCCTCTTGGCGACGCTGCTCGAGCATTTGGTTGCGAGCTCTTTTATCTCGATCACGTTGTTCCATGAGTTGGTCGTGAACGTACGGCAAGCTAGTAGGGAGGATTCGGACGTGGCTAACGCGGAGTTCGTCCTCGTCTGATTGCTGTGGATCTTCCGAGGCCCTACGGCGCGATGCACTAGCGGTCCTGTCCATGGTGGGGGCGGCCGGGGTCCCTTGATGACGAGGCGCAGGAGTCCGATCCGCAGATGAAGGCGCAGCTCCTTTCTGGGCATTTTGAGCTAACAAATTAACATCCGAGGGTGCTATCGTCGTTAGCAGAGGTAGGTTAGTTTAGTAGATCAAGACTTACAATTAGTTTGCATCATCTCATTCTCAACAACGATGGAGAACGCATCCTTGATCGCGCTGGGTTCAGCTTGTCTCAATGCCTCTTCGATATCTTCTCGGCCATATCCCATGCTTCGTTCGAGCTTGGAAACTGCAATTCGATGGATTTTGCTTTGAACCGATATAGGCTTTGCTATGTCAAGCCTTGCAGAATCAACCTTCTTCGGGTCCACCCCCGGGGCGATGAATTCCTCTCGTGGTGGTTCTAGGTACTTGGGGAGATTCTTCTTAAACCATGGGTCTTCTCTGATCTCAGGGATTGTAATGCGGTGGACGGGGTGAACTTGGAGCATTGCCCGGATCAAACGAGCTGCCCCGGATGAAACATATCCAGGTATGTGGAAGGTGCCCGCTGCAATCTTCTTGAAAAGGGCTGGAATATAGTCATCATCGAAAGGCAAGCGGCCCACCAACAACACATACAGAATGACACCACAACTCCACACATCGACCTCAGGACCAGCATAGAGCTTTCCGGAGATGACCTCTGGCGCAGCGTAGTTCGGGCTACCGCAGCTGGTCTTCAGGAAGTTGCCATCCGTCATAATATTACTCAAACCGAAATCCGCAATCTTAACGTTCTTCTGGTTGTCGATGAGCAGGTTCTCAGGCTTCAAGTCACGGTGTACAATCTTGTGTCGGTGGCAGTATTCCACAGCACAGATGATTTGCTGGAAGAATTTCCGGGCTTCATCGTCGCCGCATCTTCCCTTCCTCACGAGATAATCGAACAACTCTCGCTCTGCGTACTCCAGCACCATCACAATATCGGTCTTGGTCGCAATCACCGTATACCTAAATCATTGGTCAGCCAACTGAAATCCCAATTTCAGTGTGGATTGAAATTGTACAATTTGATGATGTGTGGATGTCGTAGCAATTGCAAGTACTGGATTTCTCGCTCCACGCGCCCAACCATATCTCTGGAGAGTAGTTTGCGTCGGGAGATGATCTTCAGAGCAACTTGACGTCCAGTTGGCTGGTGGATAGCAAGCTTCACCTTGCCAAAGGAACCCTCGCCCAAGACCCGTATAGTCTGGTACTGGTCGAGGCGTTGCATATCTCGGGTAGTCGACGGTGACTGCAATGGGTCCTCGATCTTGCTGGTCGGCCTCGAGGGCGCGGGCATTGCCATGGCGGAGGGGTTGGAGGCGGGAGGTCTCGCACGTTCACGCGGACGATCACGGTCGGAGGGGAGGGGAATAGCGAGGTCTTCCTCGTCGAATGCAGCGGCCATGGTCGGGAATAATGCCAACGTGACGTGATTGATTTTCCAGACGGTTCAGCGGTCGGGACTGCTGACTGTGCAGACCGTTCAGTGCCCGGGAGGGTTTTCTCTCTATTTTTTCTCTCCAAACATTTGCCAGGCGCCAATCAGTTGATCAGTCTCGACCCTCCCCACAATAGAACCGAATGTGGAGCTGGGCAGCTGTTTGTCGGGTGGGGGATGGAGGGGTAAATTTGCTTGTCAGGGGTTGAAGAAGTGAAGAAACCAAAATGGACTGAAGTTTTGGATGAGGTTGAGTGATTAAGCCAATATAAATAGGAAGATCAATGAGATCTGGGGAGCCACCTGGGCATGATTTTCAATCAACCTCGTTTGTGGACATTGATGGAGTTCTAGACCTTACCTAAGCTAGTTCTGGGGCACATCATCTATTGTCCACTGTGATATCTACATTTACAGGACATGTTAGCAAGGAACCCTGTTATGACGGAAAAATAGTAGTATATAGTAAGAGACTACTTTTCAATTACTACTCCGTATCATACTTCTGAATATTCACCTTGACCTATGTTATATATCAGCCAAGCTTTGTCGGTCAACACAGCAGCTCCTCTTTATATCTTATGCCAGCCCTAATGCAATGCATATGATCCTAGCTCGAAGGTTGGTCTGTGTCTCCGCAGACTAACAACTAAATAGAACTAGTTAACAAATACAACATAAAGCTTCTTTGTCTTTCTTATTTTTTTTAAAGAGATTTCGCCGAAGCGATCCGAGAAAATCTGTGTCATAGGCAGTGGGTCAATAATACCCTTAAAGAACTGTGGCTGAAAGTCAATTGATCGAGATTGTTCATTATTTACACATTTCCAGGGTAGAATAGTGCATTTCCCCTAAGCACTTGGATCTTAAGTTGACTATATATGCGGGTTCGTGGATATGTATAACGTGCCGGCTATATTATCCAGTACGCTAAAGGTACAAATGCAGCCGGGCTATGCAACACAGCCACTGAATCTTAGGCAATTCAGACAAGAGATATAACCTCATCGCATCTAAGAGAGTGGAGACAAATAATGTACATTATGTATTGAATATCCATCTATCCATCTATCCGTCGAAATTATATTATAACGAGACCCAGCCTTGGAAGAGAAATGGAATTTTCTTCCCGTAAAAGAGACTTGGATGGTACCTGGGCCTTCTAGTAAATTGTATGGATGAGGAAGTACCCCGGGAGTACGTGCATTGAGTCATATTGCGGCTTAGAGCGATCAAGCGGGGTGTCGGGGTCCCAAATTGGATTAGCGTCGAGTCGGGGACCTCGAAAGGGAATGGCGGACTGGGAGATCGGAGCATACATAGAATCAACCGCTACCTTAGCTCTTAGGTTCCTTCACCTTCCCCGGAAGCCATACAGAGTTACCGTTCCTTTCGTCTTCTTTACGATATCCTCGATATCTTAGTGTCCTACTGCCTCAGGATCCTTAGACGTGGCCTGACTAACACGGCACTCTCTCTTTGACTTTTCCCTTTTCATACAAAATAGATACCCTTGGTGATACCCACTCTACGTTTTCTTTTCCAATGGCTTTCGTTGCGGATCAATTCTTCTCTGAGATGGATGCGACAATCTCCAATGAATGGGTTGACTTCGATCAATTCCTCGATCTCCCTTCAGCCTACGATGACCAGTCAACCGCTACTACCGTCTCACCTCAAGACCTAGCTCTGCCCTATGAGGCAGATGGGATTTTCACCCCCCCATCTGATTTCATGCAATCCTCCTTCGACATGACCAACTGTGGTTTCCCACAAGAAGAGTTCATGGGAATGGATGGAGGTTTCATGCAGGACCCGGCTGTTCCTTTGTTCGATGATGCTTCGTTCTTGGCGTACAACCCATACGACAGCAGCAACACATTCCGGAACCTGGTGGAGGCACAGGCTGCCGCTGACCCGCGTGTTGGTTCTATCAAGGAGAAGCGCCGCGAGGCAGGGATTGCACTACACTTGCAGCGCCTTTGTGATGACACTGCTCTTGACTTGGATATGTCCTCTGACTCTAACACCAGCTTCTCATCCCCAAGCTGGTCAGAATACGTTCGCGGGAGCATCTCTCCGCGCCCTAGCCCGGAGACCACATCGGTCTCCGAGGCACCCCCTCCAGGAGGCATGGAGATGATTCTCGACTTGAACATGAACGCCGCAGCCAATGTGCCTAGGAAACAGAAACCTCGCTCTCAGGCACAGAAGGAGAACTACATCAAGGCTCGGAAGTACGGTGCTTGTGAGAAGCATAAAAAGCAGCATAAGCGAGTACGTTTTCCATTCACATTAACCATTTGATCACCCTAACGTTCGAGTAGTGCAACTGCCTGGAGAAGGCTGCTGCTCGTGCCAGCGATGTTCCGATGAATGCCGCACTCCAACCACGGCCGAGGCAAACGACGCCCCAAGTCCCGACCTCAGAGTCACGGTACTCGGACTCGCCGGGTCACCACTCATTCAACCCAGCTCAAGCGCTTCCCACCATTAAGGCGATCAGGAAACCAACAGGCTGCACATATGGGGTCGATCCATCTATGGGACTACCTGTCGCAGTACCCACCACCAAGCAGAATATCAGGACGAAGACTCAAAAGAGTACGCCGCCTGGACACGATATTGTTCTGCTATCTGGCAAGCTCAATTCAAATTCCAATTGCACGTTGAATCAAGACAACGTTCTATCATCGAGCCGAAACGCCGCGAAGGGTCATTGTGCCGGACACGACATACTCCTATCTGGCAAGAACATCCCAAACAACTCATGCGCTGGACACGAGCGACTCGTCACCCAAGAGAAGATCTCCAAGAGCACAGCAAGTGGACAGCCCCACAATACATGCAGTTCAAATTCACCTCGGCCGGCCCACGCAGCTGGGGTGTCATCTGGCAGTTCCAGCTTGCGCTGGTGCGTTTCGACCTCGCCGGTTGGTGTTGCATGGTCCGAGAGGACTGTCAAGACGTCCTCGGCGAACCATTCAACTGCTTGCGACGGTCGCACTCCAGGCTTGGATGTACAACGAACAAGGTCCACTCCCACGATGGCAAGATCCATGGTGCCAGGTACTGTTGCTGGCAGCCTTGGAATGCGCCATTCCACTTTGCTACGCAACTCCGGAACCCAGCTACCTGGATCGGATCACAGGGCCTCAGAAGGACTTGCCTGGCAAATCTCAAAAATGTCTGGTCTCCTACCGGTGCCAAACGATCTACCGGTCTCGCCGTCTCGGCGTGGATCATCAGGTCTTTCTGGAACTGGACGGCCACTCATCAGCGGAGACAGTCTTCGTGTTCGATCCGCTGCTGAAAGGACTCGCCGCCTGCTTACCAGTACTGCCTTGGCATTTTCTGGTGCCTGGCAATCATCACTGTCTTTGGCATCTGGGGTTGAAGGCGTGGTTTACAAAGCTTTGTCTCTATTTGCCCGACATGTTGTGTCTGCGAAGAAGGGCTTATATCTCGGCGGACTGCGGAACGCTTTCGTATAGCTGTTCTGCTGTTCTTCGATGAACGTCACTGGAAGGAACATCTTCCGATAATTGGCTGGCGTTGAACGATACTGAATTGTAAAGGGCATGGGTGATATCTATTGTCACGTTCGAGTTAGCTGTCCCTAATGATGAAATCAAGCGAAATTCATTTGCATTATTTAATCTCCAGCAAACCCTGTATGTTCGCAGTAATAATCTAGGAGCCCCAGGTACAATTAGTTATATGTGGTTTCAAAAGCAACAACCAAATATATCGCTTCCTTCTTAGAGCTCCCATTGAATCGGTACCAATATTTATACGCAATCAAAAGTAGTTCAAAATATTGCATGTCTGATGATTATACGGAGCACTATCGAGGTTATTTTCAGAAATGATAGACATCCTTTGCCGTCCCCACCAATTGAGCCTAATCCCGCGCCAGTCCTTTTTCTCTTGTTCCTGACGGTTCAAATCAACACGCATACTTTCGCTTCGACTTCAAAACCATGCACTCCCCGCCCCTGTTCCGCTTCACTACAGTGACGGGGTATTTTCTCCAGGATGACCCCGCTACGGACCCCGACACCTTCGACTACGTAAGAGACCCAAATAATTCTGTCAAAACCATTGTCTGATGATCTGAAAAGGTGAACTCAAACTTCGGCCTCATCGAAAAACAATACGACGAGCATCTCGGAGTAGAACAGACCGACAGCCAGTGGCAGCGTTTCGACGCCCACATTAAACGACAGAACGCCAGCAAGAGCAAAAAGCTCAAAGTTCTCTTCCTCGGACGCCACGGCGAGGGCGTCCACAATGTCGCCGAGCGCAAATACGGCAGCAAGAAGTGGAATGTAAGTAGCCGAGTATTTCCTCCACGAATCAACCAGACGCCAACCAGCACTCTAGGAATACTGGTCTCTGCAAGACGGAGACGAGGACGGCAGCTGGGTCGATGCTCGTCTAACCGAGCAGGGAAGATGCCAGGCAAAAGTCGCACACGCAGCCTGGGAGCAGCAGATCAAGACCGGCATCCCGTCACCGGAATCCTACTACGTGAGCCCCCTGAACCGGTGTCTTGAAACCGCGCAGATTACGTTTCAGGGACTTGCGATCCCTGGCACGGATCCTTTTAAGCCGACTATCAAAGAGGTGTGTCTGTTTGATCCCTACTACGGAGCGTACAATCTAACGAGACTAGCTACTCCGTGAAACGATGGGTCAGCACACTTGTGACCGTCGCTCGACGGCTTCGGAAATTGCAGACGAGTACCCGGAGTATAGATTTGAAGCGGGGTTCTCTGAGGAAGATAAGTTGTGGGATCGTGAGGTCCGCGAGTCGGATGAGCATCGCACTGAGCGACTGCGTGGTCTTTTGAACGATATCTTTGCTCATGATGAGAGTACCTATATTTCGTTGACGGCTCATTCGGGTGCCATCACCAGCATTCTGGAGGTTTTGGGGCATCGTCGCTTTGCATTGGCGACTG